TCATCACCATCACCATCGTCATCATCATCACTTACCAGACCGGGCAGATGGAAAAACTGGAAAAGGAGTTACAGCGTTGTAGAGATAGACTGAAGGAGTTGGATTATTTGAAGGAGAGAGTGGAGGAATTAAAGGCTGACAACTGCCTTCTACTGGACACCAAGAGGTTGCTCGAAGACAGGTCCTGATTATGATTGCGTATTATTATTGTTATTATTATCATTATTATTATTATTGTTGTTGTTGTTTTTGTTGTTGTTGATTTATGATTTATGAGATTTATGATTTATGTAATTTTTGAGGCGATTTTGAGTCATGGCGAATGTTCCGACGCTGATAATGATTTCTATTTTATTTGCATGTCCTATTTCTATCACAATCATATTCTTCTTCATCATTGTCATCGTCGTCATCATCATCGATTGAAAAAAGGGTGGAGGCGTACGAGGTCAAAGTTCAACTGGCCTACGACATGGAACTCGACCTCATCAAGTGCAAAAAGAAACTGGACGAGTCCATTATGGTAAAAGTCGCCATTATCACAACCGTCATCATCATCACCACAACCATCATCATCATTCTCACAACCGTCATCATCATCATCATCATCACAACTATCATCATCATTATCATCATCACAACCATCATCATCATCACCACAACCATCATCATCATTACCACAACCATCATCATCATCACAACCATCATCATCATCATCACAACCAGGCACAAGACGAGTATAGAGAGAGAATAAGGCGTATGGGAGATAAGCTGGAAAGTTTTGAGAGAGAGAAGGAGGTCAGTAAGAGGATGTCCTACATAGAGGACTCTATGACGTCGCCCGATGAACTGACAACTTCTGGTAGGATGATGATGGTGATGATGATGTTACTGATGACGATGACTGTAGTTAATTTAATGATTGATACACACATGCACACACACACGCGCGCACACACACACACGCACACAGGCTTAGCCGGATCACTAGCCGATCAACTGATCCAGGCCAGCCAAACTCAAATCCTGGTCCTTGAGACGAAACTACAAAAAATGCAATCCGAACTTTCGAATAAAAAGTTCCTGTCGATCGATATCCTGAAGGCTCTTGGGATCAACCGCCATGACGTCATCGTCAGGAAGAGAGAGGGAATGAAGAAGTTGAGGAGGAGAGGAGAGATAGAGAGAGAGGGGATAAAAGAAAGAGAGAACGGAGAGGGAGAGTTTATTATTAATAATAATGATAATGCTAGTCACAATGATATAATAGTCAGCCGTAAGAATGACGACAATGATGATGACGATGATAAAACGGTTAATGGTGATGATGATGATGGCTATGATAAAGATGACAGTAAGGATAATGATGACGCAGATGATGATGATGACGACGACGATTTTGGCGAATGCTTCGAAAAGGAGGTCCTAATTAGGATAAACTCCCTGAAAGACGAATCAAATGACCTCAAACTAAAAATAGAAAACTTCAACAAAATCATCAACGTCAACAAAGAGAAAACCAAAGATATCGAATCGTTTAACAGCAAGCTGGCAGCTGAAAATCAGCAGCTGCAGGCCACCGTTGAGAATCTAAACAAAGAACTAAAAACACTATGGGAAGATAGAAACTCCATAGACGCAGTAAACATAAAACTGGAAATGAAGCTAAACTCCACCAGCGAAGAAATAAAAATCATGGAATCGAAAATGGTTGAAATGTGCGAGAGAGAGAAAACCGCTTCCGGAGAGAGAGAAGAGATGGAAAAAGAAATGAAAAAAATGAAACAGCAGTTGAAGGAGAAACTTCAAATCATCGCTGACCTAGAAGTTGCTGCCAACGATCTTAATCAAGAAATTTCCGGTAAGATATTATTATTATTATTATTATTATTTATATTTTTATTACTATCTTTGATAGTCTAGAATCTTCTTGCATGTTTTTAGATTATAAAAGTTATCAGAAAATAAGATTTAAATAGTTCCCCCTTTTTGTATGCCGAAATTCAAGATGCGAGAAAACAGCTGGAGACAATGGACGACCTTGAAGCGAAGGTCGCCGATCTTGAAGGTCAAGTTCAGCTGCTGGGTGTTGCCGCTCTGCTCGATAAGCAGCTGATTAACCAGCTGAGAGAGGTTTGTGGTGATGATGATGGTGATGATGATGATGGTGATGAGGATGGTGATGATGGTATTACGATAGATGTTGTTGTTATCCGTCAATCAATGTAACATTTATCCAATCAAGTTAGTTAACCAATCAACCAACCAACCAATCACTCAGCCAACCAATCATTCACTCAGCCAACCAATCATTCACTCCGCCAACCAATTAACTCACCAACCAACCAACCAACCAACCAACCAATCATGTTGCAGGAGTTATTGAATGAAAAGATCAACTCAAAATCAATGGCAGATGAACTCTTGACGGCTAACAAAAAATGCGAAGACTACCAATCAGGCCAGCTAATATCGCCCAAGCATAAGTTGGTTGATTGATTGGCTGAATGAATGAATGACTGACTGAATGAATGAATGAATGAATGAATGAATGAATGAAAGACGATGATGAGGATGATTATTTATAAAATTATCAGACTGGCTGAAAAGATGAACGAAGAGAAATCTCTAGATTTAGAACTGAGCCATAAAAGAATATTTGAACTCGAAAAAAGGTAATTTAGAATTGAGTTATAATTAATTATAATTATCTTATAATTAAATATCAACATAATTATTAAATTAAATGTTTTATTATTGTTGAGAATAATTTTCAACAACCTTCAATGAAAAACAGCTTGGATGAGGAAAAACTTCAAGTCATTCAGCTCCAATCAGATCTCGAGACGCTGTCCAAG